GCAAAAATTGTTATCAGAGAGAAACCAGAGGATGGGGGTCGGATTAACAAATAACGTTAAAATCATCATACTAGTTAACCATTGTCAAAGGGGAGGTGATTCACCGGTGCGAGAAAAAATCTCGTCACCATCTTAGTGTTATTCCGGGTTTTTTCGAAAAGGACTGCATTTCGATAATCCCATATTGTTTTAATGAAATCTCCAATCTGAAAAATCATATTTTTACGTTGTGCCATAGTGAGGTCATATGAGGGGATTTCCTCAATGTAAACAATTTGATTCGTTTCACGCTCAACAGACACATGAGTCCCATCGGCAATCGAGTCCCTGAGTAGATCATACACTGGTTGAAAAAAGGTGTACTCGATCCATAGATGGTACGCTGATTCAGGTTGATCACAAAAACACACATTGTTTTTCCAATTCCGTTCTGTCTACCCGTACCCGTATATGTAGTGCGTTGTCCACTAATTTTACCCAAATCTCATGTGCATGTATTGACATTTTACGACGGTAAGCGTTTAAAAAATTGTATATCTTTGAGATGATTCATCTTCCGGTAGCACACTGGTAATCGAAAATGATGCTTATAAATGAGCTGCCAATAAATGGATAAACCTGTTTTTGGGATGATGGATGAATTTCTATCCATTAACCATTTCACAGTTCTATCCGCTGCTTCGTGAAACAAACTGGTTCCCTGCTGTGTATGTGGCACCAGGTTTGACCATAATGAACGATCAAAACATTGTAACTGCGTGGCCATGGACTGCAGAGCATAAAATTTCCACTTCGCTGGGGTATCAGACATTAGGCGTAGACCACATTTAATTCTAAACTCTTCTACCATTGTTTTAATATCTAATAAGGTAAATCCTCTATCTATCTTTTTTCCAATTATAGTTTTAAAACTAATTGTGGGGTGTTTTCCTCGCCATACAAATGTATTTGCGATCTTTTGCAGTTCATTTATGGCGGTTGAGTGAACTGTGATGAGGGAAAAACGGTAGACGATACAACTAAGAGAGAAAACTTTCAATATTGTACATCTCTCTAAATGAGAGAGGCTAATTTGCGACCACATCCCCAAGTTTTGTTTAAAAGACATTTTGAGTTTAACTAATTCAGAAGGTGAAAAATGTCCCCGTTTGTCAATCGGCACATCTAAGAACCGGCACCAGTCAAGTTTAACTTGACCTTGGAATACTGGTGGTGGTAGCCAGTCACTAATCCAGAAAACCTCGGTGTTCTCAACATTCGTTTTTCCACCTGATGTCCTGTTGTAAAGATCAAACATTTTGATAGTCTCCGTCTCCTCATCTCTGTTGAAGATGATAGTGTCAATATCAGCTATTGTTTTTATTGTGCTGTCGACTCCGTCATAAGGGAAAGCCTTCTCTCGTACAGCCTGATACTGTGCACCTGGTGGAATGATACCTGGTATTTTAGGATTATTCCTGATACTATGCAATAGAGATTCGAGGCACACTACATATATAATACAACCTTGTCGTACTCCAGACTCGAAATTGATAGGTTGTGTTATTGAATCATTTATTTGATTCGAAAAGTGGCACCGGTGTACATTAGCCTTATCCAACGAATGAACTTTTGTCCAAATTCAAAACTCCGCAACACCTCGATGAGGTAACAGTGACTGACTTGGTCAAAAGCATTTTCTTGATCCCATAAAATGTGGCTCGCGGTTCCTTGAGTAATGTTCAATAATCGACCTGATTAAGTGCACATTATCTTGTATTGTTCTACCCGGAATCGAGCAGGTTTGGTCGGGGTGAACTAATGTGCTTACCACTGCTCGTAGTCTGGTGTTGATCACTTTCGAGAGTGTCTTGTAATCGAAATTCATCAAAGAAAGTGGACGGAAACCTTTCATCGATCCTTCAACAGATCCTTCCTTTTTTAACAAAGTTAGGATAGCACGTAAAAACGATGAGTGGAATCGTCGGTTTGCCCCTGCAACATTGATCATTTTCGCATAATATTCATCAATGATGGGAAATATTACTCTCCATACGTCTACCGTAATCCCGTCACCACCTGGAGATCGTCCTGTCGTCATTTCCTTCAGAGCGTCACAGCATTCTACAACTGCGATTTCCTTTTCTAGTTTATCAATATTTTGAGGACTGAGTTTCGGTAAACCGGCCACGAATCTATTCCAGACTTCGCTGTCGGCTGGTTTTTCACTCTACAGTTCAGTGTAAAAATCAGTGGCTATAAATCTCTGATGTTGACTCTATTTTTCCTTTCGTAGGATGTAACAAAAAGGGATTACTAGCTAGCTTCTTCGCGCGCCATAGTGGTTTTTGCGATCAGGCTCAAATCTTTGACATTTCTTTCATGTTTTCCAGGAGTTTTTGCGAGAGCTTTTTTTTCCACACTGCGGAAAAAAAGTGCCCTTTGGTAGGTTTAGGACACATGAAAGTGTCCTGAGTGTGCCACAGTCAATATGATAACAAAAAGCAGAGCACTTCCATGTGCCCTAAACCTCACCAAAGGACACTTTTTTTTGCAGTTTTTGACACTCATATTACATTAAGTGTTGCATTAGATGCTCTATTTCAACAAGTGCATAATGAAAAAGAAAATATGGTCGAACACAATGGGTGCTTCCACACAGGTCCGCCCACTTTATACAGAGCTTCTTGCGCAAAAATTCCACTTATCCCATCGTGTACGACATCAAAAATAATCTAAAAGTCTCACTTACGCTTTTTTGAAAAAACATGTGGAAAGTGGTTTTCTAGACACCTCAGGTTTTTGGAAAGAAAACCGAGGGTGAAAAATGCCGAGGGTAGTTGTATGGGCAAAGTTATAGATCTTACTTAGTAGTTCCTATCTTTAAAAAATCCCAAAAAATTTTCGGAACGTTTAGGAGGAAATCGGGGTCAAACTTCAGCAGTTTTTCAAGTAGATTGAGTACCACCGGAATGTAAAGCCAGATCGAGATCAAATTCCTTCACCATTACAATCAACTCGTCAAGAGCTACAATCTGATACATAATTATGCAATGTTTCGTTCATTTTCACCGACTTCGGTTCCACCCTCACCAAAAACCTGAGGTGTCTAGAAAACCACTTTCCACATGTTTTTTCAAAAAAGCGTAAGTGAGACTTTTAGGTTATTTTTGATGCCGTACACGATGGGATAAGTGGAATTTTTGCGCAAGAAGCTCTGTATAAAGTGGATGGACCTGCGCGGAAGCACCCCATTATATTGCAGATATAACGAGATGCTGATTCATTTATCGAAAAAATAACTGCAAATGATAATAATATTGATCAATATTTTCAATGGATAAATGAATATTCACGTCCTGTTAGAGAATATTGCACTCCAAAAAATGATAGTGTAAATCGGATACGTTATGCTGGCTATATATAATAACATGTTTATGATGCACCTTCTCCTTCAAAGCCGATTGCCTCTTACAGTTGCATCTATTGCACCAATTGTGGTATCAATTATTGGTGGATATCTATCGCCACGCTCACTTTTGTGTTCTGGAATAATCAAACTTCTGCAAATCGTTATCGGCTATATTATATTCTTTGTATTTATATATGATAGTACAATCGGAAAACATCGCATAACAGCATGCCAACGGACAACGTGTTAAAGTCAGAACAACTATTGTAATTAGAATAAGGACAAATAAAATACCAATTATTGAACCGAATAGTATACTTCGAGTAGGCTCAGACAAGTACCAAGCTATGGAAGATGTACGACTTTTAAGAGGAGTGAATATGTCTACAATAAACGAAAACTAAAGTTAATTAGTTTCTCGCGAAAAAAAATCTAACATACAAATATTACCTTGTTGTTTTTCTGAATGAGTAAACAGAGACAATAGTGTTAATGGAATGTTGAATATCATCATTCGTCTGTTTTTTTTGATTGTTGTCTAATTTATTTACAATGTTGCCCTCTCTATTTTTTACATGTTTACTCATAAATCAAAATTCATTGTCATCGAACCTGTTCCTTATGAAAACTATGCGTGGCAGCATTTCATCAATTTGACGAAATGAGCAAAAGACAGTTAATGTTTTTGATTTTCTTTTCTGCAAAAACAATTGTTACGAACAAAAATTAAATAAAAGTATGCTAATTCTTAATAAAAACAACATTCTTTCAGGGGCACAATAGAGAAACATTTTTACTTATAGACATGGTCGGCGGAAGGAACGGGCGACCGCCCGGGGCGCTACAAAGCAAGAGACACCGGAGGCGCCTTGGTTTTCTAATATTGATCAGGCGCATTTCAACAGGTACAGACAGAAGGGGCGGGGGCGCAAAAGTAAATTTTCGTCCGGTATCATAGTTTTGCTCGCGCCGGCCCTGCTTATAAGTTCATTCACGTTATAAGCTCGTTGTTTTTAGCTTTCCAGTAATCAATAATCTATTCAAAATGATACTAAAAATGAATTAATTGGCTCGATTGTTTGTAAATTAGATCTGCAAACAAATTCTACAACGCTGCTGTATATGTATGTCAGCCATGAATAATGAGTATTGTCGTAAAACAATAGCATTGAAACATATTTGTGTGATCATACAAACAATGATAAGAAGAGGATGTAATGAAATTGTTTTAGAAGCGGAAGCAAGCAGTATTAAATTTCTATAAAAATTTAGAATTTTTAAGAGAAAAAAGATCACATAGATATTATTCAAATGTTGCTGGTACGTACAGATTAAAACTATGACTAAAATAAATCAGAATATAGTTCTTTTACGAATTTATTTCGTATGAGTGTGTCGTTTTAAATGTTTTGTTTGATGGTGCTCATTTTAAAAATAAACAATTGTTGAATTGGATGTTTAGTAGCTTTATAATCAATCATTGTTACTATATCAGCTTGCTGTGATAATTATAAAGTTTATTTATTTATTATTTGCATAGAGAAAAAGACAGGCAACAACAATAGAAAAAGAAAAAACAAAAAAAACACTAAAAAAAATTTGTATTCTTTCATACTAGTACACTTAATGCTTGCCTTGAACAAAGTGGACATTGTTCAGACATAGTCGACGTGGGAGTTAGATTATGATCGAAATTTGAATTATTTTTATTTTTATTTAAATTACACGTCCTATTATGATGTAAATATTCGCCTAGAGCAACACATGCAGAAGTTCGAGGATGGTGAGAGTGAATGCCTCCCGACGATGATGATGTACCAGAAGACGATGTAGATGGTGATAAATGACGATTTGACATGGCTGCTGAAAAATCATCATTAATTTCTTGATAAATATGATAATTTACACCGGGGCAATTACCTACACCGCTACTTCCTAAAACAATAGAAAATGAAAGTGTCGTTCAGATATTTGTGGGATATAAAATAACTATCTTCTTACCTGAACTAGTATAACTTGGACGTGCATATGATGAACATGTACGATGAGTTGATAGACTACTAAATTGTTGTGGTATTTGATAATTTAATGGTCTGTGATGATGATTCCATGTACCACATGTTGATGAAGGCGTTGGTCGTACGAGTAATGTTTCACTTTTTGTATCTTGATGTGATGAATGAGATGATTTACGACGATGGAATAAATGTGGACAACGTGTTAAAGTTAGAACGACTATTGTAATTAGAATAAGGACAAATAAAATACCAAATATTGAACCGAATAGTATACTTCGAGTAGGCTCAGACAAGTACCAAGCTATGGAAGATGTACGACTTTTAAGAGGAGTGAATATGTCTACAATAAATGAAAACTAAAGTTAATTAGTTTCTCGCAAAAAAAATCTAACATACAAATATTACCTTGTTGTTTTTCTGAATGAGTAAATAGAGATAATGGTGGTAATGGACGTTGAATATCATCATTCGTCTGTTTTTTTGATTGTTGTCTAATTTGTTTACAATGTTTTTCATAACTTATTTGTTTAAGTAGAATAACACATATTTCATATTGTTGATCACTGTTCAATTGATAATCATAAAATGTATAATTTCTTAGTAATGGTGAAAGTAGTTCGCTTAGTCTATAATTTTGAGGTGATTTTGATAAACTAACACTGATTTTAAAACCTTGAATACCTTGACGTTTTAAATAGGAAAATAAATAATCTCGTTGTTCAACTAATAAATCGTTTAAAAATGCGGGAAGAAGTTGCCATTGAATAAATATGGTACGTAATGATGAATCATATGAGACAGTTAATTCATTGATACGAATTAGAAGATGTTCATCGTCTAAACTTACAGTTGTAGTTGTAGTGGTTGATGGTATTATTGAACTACTAGTAGACAATAGTGTACCAATTAATGTTGATACTATAGTAGAACTAGTAGTAAGTTGCATACGATACTGACGTTGACTACTAAAAAGAAAAAACAGTTCATATTTTGAGAAAAACATCTCAATTTATTTTCTATTTACGGTAATTTTTTATCGTCTGTGATACTGAGTAATGTTTTATCAATTTCTGGAATTTTTATCTTTTCAGTTGTTGTTGTTGTTGTTGTTATTGTTATTGTCTGTGATTCTTCATCGTCCTTATCCATCTCTTTTCTACTATCTTGTTCATTTAAATACTGACATTGTGGTGTTGTTTGTTCTGGCAGTGAACATATTAAATCTTTATTATTTAAATCGATTAAATTAACATTTCGTTTCGATGGTGGTGATTCACATTTTCCCGTCGATTCTTTAAGTTTATTGGCAATTTTAAACCATTTTCCAATATTTTTCATTAGACAATTACAATGAAGTGGATTTTGATCTAATTCGATTGATGTTAATTGAGTATAATATTTTAATGTAGAATAGTCTAACGTACATAGACGATTACGACGTAATACTAATGTTTGTAATGTATCATTTAACGTGACCAACAACGGAATGGATGACAATGAATTATTCCGTAAATCTAAAGTAAAAAAAAAGAATGTAAGAAACGATAAGATTGTTAGAAGTTAAACTACGTTCTTAATCCATATTGACCTAATAGCAATTGGTCAAAAGTAACGTTTATCTTATCTTACCCAATGATTGTAGACGTGTAAATTGAAATGCTTGTGTATGAATATTTTCTATATTATTATCTCTCAATTGTAATCGTTCTAAAGTTTGTAATTTTGAAAATAATTGATTATTAATATTTCCCTCGAATAAATTTCCATCTAAATTTAATTGTTTTAATTTTGGAAGACCGTTAAATGTACATGTTTGAAATTTTAATTGATTTCGATCTAATTCTAATAATTCAAGTGATTGAAATAAATGATTAGATAAACTAGTCCATTCTTGTAAATAATTTGATGATAAATATAATTTTTCTAATTGAACTAAATTTATTGTCAATATTTGAAGATCAATTTTTTTTAAACGATTATTTTTTAATGATAATACTTTTAATGTTGGAGGTAAATATAAATCAGTTAAATATTCTAAATAAAAAATATAAACAACAATGAATTTAATTTAATTATTTAGTTTTATTTAAGATATCATCACCGCAAAAGTCAAAAATGGGATCTTTGAGCTCATGCAAGAATTTAGATTCCAGATAAATGATAGAGAGATCAAGTTTATATTGTTTTGTAGTAAACAGATATGGTTTACGACTTGACAGAGTCCAATTTTTGAATATTTCCTTTACTCATCTTTGATACATATTAGAACTCTAAAATCTTAAAAGTAGAGTTGGACAAGTCAAGATGTCAAGTCAAGTCAATGAAAAGATTCTCTAAAGTCAGAAGATCTAAAAAATGTTTGTTAAATCAAGTCAAATGACTTGACTTGATTTAGGATTGAGGGATTTTTGACATGACTTGCCCAGCTCTGCATGGAAAATGAGTCCACTTAGATCTTTAATACCATTTCTTTGCATTAAAAATTCGAAAAAAATGCACTCTTGAAATGATTTAAGAGACAATCAAAATTAGACAGCAGTCACAAAACCAGAAACACCTTTTCCCAAATCAAGTCAGAGTTCTTAAGAATTTTTGCCAAATCAAGTCTGACTTGAGTTCTCTATCTCTACTCTAAAAATTCTTAGACGAGCTTTCAAACATCATCATTCACATAACAAAACCAGAAGGATAATTTAAAGATTGAGTTCTATCAACTCGTAATCATAGTTGTTGTCTACAAATTAAAAGAAAAATTTATTCTCCGATATATCGTTACCGAAAATTTCTGCAAGCAACGAAAGCCCTGAAGTTTAGTTTTAAGATAAATACAAACTACGCTGTCATTAAATAAAATGCGTTTTACTTGAGAAATATTTGATATCTAAACAATTTGTGCACACTTTTCTACAAGCTATAGATAATGGTGTATCTGATAAACGAGCAGATACCTACGGTACAAAATTCATATATTTTTAACAAAAAATATGCCATTTTTGATCAACAAACAGTTGAAAAGAAAAAAACAACTACTCACCAATTCGATTATAATCTAATAGAAAATCTTTCAATTGATATAAATGTGTTAAAAATGTTAAATGTTTTTCGGTAGATAATTCATTATTTCTTAAATTTAATATTTCTAAGTTTGATGAAAATAATTCAAATATATACTCATCAATTGTTTCAATACCTAAATAAATAAGAGAAATAAATAAACAACAAAAATTTGATTTATTTTATCTTATTTTTTACCATTGTATGATAAATCTAATTCTTGTAATGATGATGATGATGATACTCGTATTGATTGTTGTAGTTGATATTGAAATTGATCAACATTTAAATGTTTTATTTTATTTTTTGATAATATTAATATTTTTAATTTTTTTAATTCTATATAAAGACGAATATCAAATATTTCTAAAAAATTTTCTGATAAATCTAATCGTTCAATATTTGGAAATAATTGTAAAAAATTTAATTTATTTTCTATTGATTTTATTCCACATGATTGTAATGATAATTGTGTTAATTTTTTAGCACTATTCATTGAAATTAAAGATTTAGATGTTGATAAAAAATTAGATAAATCAAATGAACGTATTGATAAACGTTTTAAATTTGGTAATTCTTGTAAAATTTGTATAAATTGTGATGTTTTTAAATCATAATTACTGTTCAATGAAACGGTAGAAGATAAAATTAATTCTTCTAAATAATTTGCTAAATCAATAAATGCATTTATTTCAAATTTAACAATAGGATTTGAATGTAATTCTAATTTACGTAATTTTAAACCAGAAAATGCATTCGATTGTATAATTGAAATAAGATTACCAGATAATACTAATTCATCAAATAGTATATTACCTAAAATATACATAGATATAGTAAATGAGAATTTTAACATTATAATATCAAAACGTATGTTTCATAGAGAACAATGACATTCTTTTTTTTTCTTTAAATACGCTAGAATTTTATTTCTCAATTGTTAGTAATTGTTCGACGTATATATTCTCAAAATTTAGTTCGAAAGAAAAATGATAGAAAGACTTTTCTCAAAAAATTGCACGAATATAGTAAAGATCAGTTCAAATTTCTAATGAGAAATCATTTTCAAGTGGCCAACTCACTTTTTCTTCGTTCATATGTGGATCTATAGAGTATATTAAGATAGCCAAAAGACTAAAAGAATTCGGGGTTCTTATTGCTTTCTGTGAAAATTATTGAATTTTTTTTGAGTTTTTCCTTCAGAGTCTTAAAAGATTCAATATTTTAGTTTCATAAAGTTTTCTTTCCTTTCGTATGTATTCAAAATTTTTTCTTATACATAGTCGAATAGAAGAAAGTCTTCTCTTCAAAATGAGTTTTCGATTAGTTTTGGTGGAAATATAAGCATCACTGAAAATGCTTGTGTATAAACTTTTCTATAATGAAAAAGTGATTGCAAAAAAATAAATTTATGTCTCTATTTTATATTGAATTTTTCAAAGATAATCATTATGTCTATTTAAATAGTGAGAATGAGATAGATATTATTATATTAAATAAAAAATAAAAATATCTACATACTATTATTAAAGTGTGGTATTTGCGTTAATTGTTTTCTAGCACAATAGATATAAACGGTGCCCGTTTCTTGAATAGCACATCGACATTTTGTTTGTAAAGCAAATGGAATTGGACAAGTTGATATAAAGGAAAACATAAATGAAATTTGAATGAAAAAATAGATTAAAAAAATAGATTTTAAATTTAATGATTGTCGAAATTTTAATGATGAATGAATATGAATATATGGTAAAAATTGACGAATAGACCAACGATAATAGTAAAATGTTAATTTTAAACGATACGATATTATATGAGATAATGATAATGACATTTTGTTTACAAGATTATTATCTAAATAAAAGAAATATATAAATATCATGATGTAAAATTTGAACGAGAGTAGTGAAATGAATTGTAAACTATTTCCCAAAGTAAATAACTAAAATCAATCGTTATTTTCATCGTAAATACTAACTTGATTAAATAAGCATAAAATTTGTTGGTTCTATAACTACTTTTTCCTGACTCTTTCTACAGCTGAATTAAACATTCGAAAGTATGAGAAAAGTCTTCTTAAATGTAAAATGACAGTTATCAACTTGTATTTATTCTGCAAGAAAAAACTTCTTTTTTCTTCTTCTTCTCTCTATGCTTGATTAAAATTCTAAAATATTTCATAACTTCTTCTTGACTCCTCCTTCTCGAAATTAAATACATCCCTACCTCTTCCTCTTCGAAAATATGGTGTTTGGTCCATTTGATTTTTGTTTCTTTCTCCCTCTCTCTTTCTCTCTATCTCTTTATTTTCTTTTTGCGTAAGTTACTATGATAATAATATATTAGGAAACAAAACGTTATATTTTATTTTGTTCAATTGACAGGGTCATGGTTGACAATCATCATCATCAACATCATCTTCTTTTTTCTGCATAGTTAGTTCAAATCAAGAATGTAGAAGAAAAGAGAAGCAAAAAAAAAAAACGACACTCATAAAATAAGGGTAATTAAAGTTACAACTTTTCTCAACATAAAAAGAAAAAAATAGAAAGAAAAAAGAGCGGAAAACTATGATGACAGTTCTTTTTTTCCGTACATAACTGACCATTGCCTAATAGAACAAACTATTATAGACAAAAAGACAGAGTATTGAAAGATTGTTGAAAATACTTTTGTAAACGAAACGTCTATCAGTTAACTCTACTGAAAATATCTCTATATTGTTTATCATAATAAAATGATAAGTTTTAAACTTCATCTATCTCTCGCATGTATTACAATCGTTTATTTATTTTTATTTTTGTTTTTGTTTAACATATCATCCAATTCTCAAAGTATAAATTTTTTCATCTTACATACCACATTTCATATTTTCATTTCGAACTTCTATTTTAAATCTAGGTAATTTATATCTATATTGAACGTCTGTTTATCATCATTTTCTTTTTCTTTTTTTTCAAAATAGAAGAAAGAGAAATTATCGTTATTGCCATATGTTTGACTATTTTCTGTCCAGTTCTTTTATATATATATTTTTTTTCTCTCATGCCTTTTTTTTCCTTCAATTTTATTGACCAAATGAACGCGTGTCTTTACATCTTATTGAGTGCACGTAATATATGTTTATCAGTGGTAGCAGCATTATATGTTCTAATGTGATTGTTCAAGGTTAGAAACTGACAGAACAAATCCAACTAAAAAAAAACGAAAAGAGAGAGAGAGAGAGAGAGAGAGAGAAGAGATACTAAAATGTTTATTAAACATGAACACTTAATGCTGTTCATGTTGACAAGATTACGTGAGATTATGATATATATAATACACACTAATGTGATCCATCAGTGATCACTAATGAACATGTTGAAATTTTCATCAGTATAACATCTCTTTTCTTTTTTTAAGTAACAATTTTATATAATTTTGTTTTTTTAATATCTGAAATAGTTTGATAGATATCAGTTAAGAATTGAAAAAACGAGAAATATTAATTATTCATTGATTTTAAATTCACAAATTTTATTTCATCGGATATATTATTTCTTACGTAATATTATTGATTTTTTTTCCTCTCTTTTCTTCTCACTACTATTTTACAATATAATATATTATACATTTTTGTCATTCTATCCATTTTTTTTTTCTCTCATTTCATATTATGTAGAGTGATACACTATTTTAACATTTTAACATAGTTATAGAATTGAAAATTTAAAAATCATCTAACAAAAAACCTTGATTAATACTAGATACTCTATTTTCTCCTTTGAGACTACTAGCCGATATAATAATAATGTACTTTTAATTATTCAATGACTTTTAAAATATAAATTTATATTGCTAGCGGCCTATTTATATATTGATCAAATGTCACAAATAAATTGATGTTGACAATTTATGATTATTATTTCAAGGAAAACTAATGGAGATGGATCATTTTTAAAATAGATTTTGACCGAAATAGAAAACATATACACACAGACACACACACACACAGACATATATACATTTTCTTTACACTTATACACCTTCTCTATGGAAAAATGACACTTGAAATTTTCTCTTTCACTCTAATTGATTGCCTTCAATTAAGATTGACTAATAATTGAAGAGTAAAGTCTTATATAATTCTATATTTTCATAGATAAACATTCATTTCCTCTTGATTATAAACTACAATGATATTATTTTATCTCTATTAAATTTTAAGATAACATTTAAAAATTAAAATAGTTGAGATCACTTAGATATTTAAGTTATCAAAATAAGCATCTTTTCATAGATTTTATTATATGCAAAAACAAAACAATAAATTTTTTCTTTCATTAAACTTTAGTAAATTGATGGTAATGTTTTTCTATATGAGTTTATATTGCATAAAATGAGTAATTGTGCATTGAATCCAAGTGTGCATAAAACTGATGATTCACTATATCACAAACATTATCTTTCTATTTGAGTATTTAACGAATAATAACTAGTGAAAATATTAGAAGTCTCATTTGAAAAAATGAAAGTAATAGTTCGTATTTACGATTACATAATTTTCTTAGAAAATGAACTATTTTTTTTTTGATGACTTATAACATTGAACGTTTGACTTTCTGACGTTCGATTTTGTTTTTCTTTTGTCATTTTAGATTTTCTCTATATATTAGAAACTATCATTGTGATTGATCTATGATAAACATTCAATAATTAATTCTTGCAAAGTGTCTCATAAATTAAACCTTCTTTATAGAAGATAAGTATGTTACACAAGCTTCTTGAATTAATTGAATGATTATGGTTATGAAATGTTGTTTGTATATAGACATAGATATAGACTGTTGTAACAAATTTTCTAATTATAATAAGAAATATTTCTTATTTATTGAATAATCTACCGACAATATCAAGAGAGATGATTTCTTAGACTATATCTTTATTTGATAATCTGAAAAAATAGCAAAATACGATAGATAAAATTGTCTAATACATAGGAGAAAAAAAAAGAAAAATATGTTAATTTACTAATAATAGCCATAAGAACAAGCTGTTTGACACGTAATACGAAGTTTTTTTTAAAGAGAAAAATATGTTTGCATATTTGTAGAATTAGACTCAAGAGAAGAGAAAATACTATCTATCCAATGGTCAGTAATGATGTCATTTCGAGAAACGATATTTGTACAAAATAATTGGATCAATGTAATAAAAATAGAGATGTGCTGTTAGTATGTAGACGAGAAATGATGCTAGTTAATAAGAATATTAAAAAAGTTAATAACTAACTGCACAGTTTTTATGTTCTGACAAATAATTGAATCTTATCTGTAGAAGGATGATACTTTCTCGTGCGTCTAGTTTACAAATCATTACTATCAAGTATATTAGTTGTTGATGAGAGACGTAAATGAGCACGAATATAAAAATTCAGCTTAGATTCTCTCTTGAAGCTGTATTTTCATTATCATCTACTGAATTTGATGAATATTTAATTCATTTTTCAATCGTTTATATGTGTGGTAATTGATACTGTGTAGTTTACACTGTTATCTGGCGTGAAAGATGACGTTGTTTTTTTTATATCGTTTTTTCTTTCTACTTTTTCTGTGTGTTTTTTTTCACGGTAAGGATAAGGAAGTGTTATGCCAGGAAGAAATATGAGTAGAACAGCTGGAAATCAACTAATAATCTAATTTAAAAACGAATTTTGTTTTGCTCAATTTAATCATTGATGTGTTATTGTCTGTCTGAGGAAGAAAAGAGAACAATATATCGAAACATACACACACACACACACACGCACACACATATACTCAATTACTTTTGTTTCATGCAGGTGGAAACAAACGATTTCTTTGTATTTGTTACATTAATCAATGAACCATTTTATTAATCTTCTTAGAGACATGATGCATAGATGCAAGGGCATTTTAGTCATGTGTGACAATAGAAAAGCTTCAGGTGAGAAAAAAAAACACAACGTAATTATCATTGCACTCGTGCTGAAAATTAAACATGTCATCAAGATACTAAAACATCTCTAATTTTCTTACTATTAGTGTTACTTACGATAAGTGTAAGAATTCTAATTCTAATCCACTGATTATCTTTGTGACTCTTAAATGTTCTTCTACTTATATACTGAGAGTCTCTTCTGTTTCATTCAACAGTAATAATACTGCTGATATATTTTGACAGCAATATATTTTCAAGAGATATCTATCCGTCTTTCCGTTGTGATGCAATCGTGAATGACTAAAACTGTACATTCACAGTCATACTATTGTTCTTTCTATCTTTCTTATCTTGATTGACTGTTTAGTGGTACTTATCTCTTTTTTTTGAACACATTCAGACGTACACACACACATACACACAACTGTACGATACTAAACGTCTTGTACTTATGATACAATTACTAAATTTTCGACACTAATTAGTTGAACACTGTAGCGATGGTAGTAATAGAAATTATAATAATCACAGGTCCAATGTTTGTGAGAACACACAATAGAAAGAGAAGACTAATTGATCTAATTGGGAATGTACTTGAAACAGATTTCTATTGTTGTCATGTTCAAGTATACTCAACAATGCACCACACACAAGGTTTTCTTGAAGAATAGAAATAACGAATTCAAATTTAACTGAAGGAAAATGTCATCATTTGAAGAAGAAAAAAAGATATCAATTAAATGAGACATCTAAGGTTCTCTCAAACCGATATATGCTAAAATTATAAGAGTTGTTGTATGAGAGGAATTTCTTTTTCACTTTGTCTACACTTCGTATACAAAAAAATCTGTTGAAGTGAGTCAGCTTTATCAAAAAAAAAATTCACTCAAACTTCATGAAAACTTGTATCTTACAATAGCGGAATTTCTTATTCTTTTGAGAAAACGGGTCCAATATCGGCCAAAATTCCCGATTTTTCGACGACCATTGAAGCAATAAACCATTTTATATTGTGCACTTAGTACATAAACAAAGAATAATAGAAAAATGATTTTGACGTCTCATGGATATTCAGAAAAAATCTATACCAAATAATACTTTTTCTTCAGAAAATTTTTGTGAACACTTTCTGCTAAACATTTCGTTTCTCTGTTTCTTCTTTACCGTGTATTGTCAAGGGAAACAAACATGGTATCATATTTTGATACGTTAAGAAAATATAGTACTGAACAGTAAAAAAAAAAATCATCTAGAACAGAGTTAGTCCTTTCCTTTGTCCTTTAAAAAATTGATATCATAACCATTTACATGGATCGTACTTGAAATCTATATATTGTTCAAATTGTCCTTATTTTGTCATACACAAAGAAAGTACTATATGTGCATATATATTATACAATCGTGTCAAGCGTGAAATATACTTGATATGTTTTTTACATAATCATTTCAAAAAAAAAAAAAAAAATTATTGAGGTTTTTTTTCTTCTTCATGGAATTGATTCTATTGAAAATTTTGATAGGATCACGTCATCAATGGTCTCTAAATTATTTAATTCTACAAATTTTAACAATACAAAAATAAGAAAACGTTAAGTACTCACACCTGAAGTGATATATCGCCTGCTCTTAAAATAGAATAATTCATATAGCACAAAACACTCAAAAATGATATTAGTCCTATCGACAGAGTACCAATATTGTGTGTGGCACAGTTAATCAGACGCATGCTGACCAATACGATTGAACAATTCTCTCAGATCAGATGTGGATAGGAAATTTTTCAGAGATACATATAGTTTTACGAGAAAGCTTTAAATGTAATGTTTAATCAGTCCTTGCTTCAAACAGCTGGAAAGATATCGTTATTAATTGAAAAGTCAAAGTTAAAACTTAATTCTAGAAGGTACATGTTGTATATATATATACATA